GTAAGAGCAGATTTGATTGTCAGTTTCAGAAGAAAACTTCTAAGTACCTTGGACAGCTCATAAAATGCTGTTCAGGAAACTGAAAACTAAGTTGAGCCAAGAACCAGAGCAGTGCTTTAAAAAATCCCTGGCAAAGCAGGAGGAAAGTGAAAAGTTGGTTTTTCAGAGTTTTGAAAATCGGGTGTACAGGAACCAAAGCATCTTCTTCCAAAAGGCACTGGGATCTTAGGGCACCAGTGGGTCAGATAGCAGAAGGGGAGTTTTCACAAATATTTCTCTAGCAAACTTTCCCAAAACACAAACTCCTTCCCAACCCCACCCCCGACTACTCTGCTCCTCTTTCCTCCCTCCACCTTCCAAACCCTCCATGGAGAATGCTTCATAAGATCGTATCTCAGGGACCATCTCTGTAGCCTATGATAATTTTTCTTGAAATCTGGCAAGATCAGGGGCAGAAAGGCAGTCCTACAAGACCACCTCGGGTTGGGTGGGGCATCAAACCTGGAGAGCAGGGTGGGAGTTGGAGTTTTAAAGCCCATAATTTGGGGAGGGGATTTTCCCCAAGAAGAAGTGTAACAGCATCTTAAACGCATCCCTCAGAGCTCAACCAGCCCTGTCCAAGAGAAGATAATCAACACTCACGTGACTTAGCATGGACCACCTCCCAGTTGTCTTCTGGACTCTGCTCTAACAAACCTGCGATGTGTTGCTGGGGTCCAGACCTCTTTAATCAGCTGAGACTTGCGTGCTGGTGTAGTCCCGCCTTTCCCTCCCCCTTTTTCCCCTAGGCGACATCATTTAACAGAGGAAGGAGCAAGGAGGGGCTGGGCTGAGCCAATGCACTCACAAATCTACTGATTAGTTTTAATCTCAAGAGCCAGAGATGCGATTAGATAGTACTAGGAACCCACTGTAAGAGGATGGGACGGAGTTAAGAGGTGAAATCCAATCACAGCTAGGTCAAGGCATTGGATACTGCTACAATTTCCCACAGCGTTAAAAAAGAAGCTGCAACTCAGCCAGGACTTGGTTCCCTAATCCCCCTCACTAATTTCCAAAACAGTAGCCCTTCCCCCTTCTAGGACTTCCTCCACTCCCTTCAGCTGGGTGCTTGGGTCCCCTTCCCTGGGCATCCTTCCCACAGCATCCCAACCCCACCACCAGGTAATCTGGATGGATGTCAGAAGGAGAGGTAAATGGGCTGAAAGTTCCTTTGGATAAAAAAGGATGTTTGCAGCTGCTTTTTAAAACAGCAACGACAATGATAAACAAGCAAATCTTAGCGAAAACCAGTGCATCTCAAAAGTTGGTCTTGCTACGCAGCAACCCTAACAGACTTTGCAATCATAGCGCCCCAAGAACATAGAAATGTAGAGTTTGTATTGACTTACCTGGGTGTGCCAAGCTCCAAGAGTAGAGAGAGAATTCAGCCCCGGGACCAAGTCTGTCCCGCCCCTAAAATACAAAATCCGGTTTTGGGTGGAGGTTGTTGGTGTTGTAGTTGTACAGTGGTGTGAAGAGGACAAGACTTCCCACCCCCTGGTCCTCTGTGGCCAGTTTAGCAACAGCAGATGGAAAAGATGCTGAGCGGAGAGTTTGGTCTCTCCGGAAATACTGGCTCCATTCTAGGTGATGGGGGTTGGGAAAGGGTGAAAATGTTGCGGGGAGCAGCCAGGTTCTCAGTTAACTCAGAGTAAAGAGGAAGGTGCTAGAGAAAGAGGGCGGGACTGAAGAGGCGCTAGGGAGCACGAAAACGAGGAAGAAAGACAGAAAAAGGGGGAGAGGGGTGGCGGGGAGATGGCAGCTTCTCACAGAGAGATTTCCACCTTCTGACGAAACCTCCACGCGAGCGCCCCCTGGGGGGTTTCGGCGGATAGGAGCATTGCCCCAGGAATGCTAGTCCTTGGCACCGCCCTGAATTTGGCGGGTGGTGTTCTCCAGGGTCCTGCCGCTTCCTGCTCCGGGCTTTCTGCTCCTTTGCTCAGACCAGGCGACTGGGAAAACTTGATTCAGGCTCCCAAGTGTTGCGCCTCTATTTCTTCTCCAGAGTATAGCGGGAATATCAAGGGACTGGAGTTATTTGTGCTTTTTTTACCCTAAGTACACAAGGAAACCTCGCAGAAGAATATTCAATTACCCCCACAGAAATGTTGAAGATCTTGCTCACCTTTGGACCCTCAGTGTCTATAATAGTGTCTAGCACACGGTAGACTTCTGATGAGTATATGTGGAATAAATAAATAAATGAACTATAAGGCTTTTATCCAACTCATAAGCTCTTCCTGCATATACCTACCTCCCAAATAACTGTAAGAGAAAGAACTGCCTAAGGAGCACCTACCTAAGTTTAAAATTAGACATAAACATTAGGAGTAAGGGGTAACACTATCATAACACTATCACATGTTATGAAGCACCAGAGAAAGATAGGATAGTTTTCCTATTCCAAATGTACTCACAGTCAAATTCACACACAGGAGGAATGAAGGGACGTATTATACTGTACTTTGTTTCTTATTGTTTCTGCAATAACAGATAAATAACTAAATTCTCTCAAAATAGCAGTCTTGTCAGACTCAAAAATTGGACTTAAGTGCAAAAAAGATTCTTCCTAGCGTTAGGATAGCAGAATGCATTGCAATCTCACATGGGCTGGGATACAGAGAAACGGGAAGGTCTTCTTTCCCATCCTCTTAGGACATTATCTCACAAGCCCTCTTTTTAGGTGGAGAGGTAAGTAGCCCAGAGCTTTTTACAAATCACCAAGCAGCTCAAGTCCTTTCTGAATCATGCAATCCCATGTGTTAGAGTAGAACTGTTCCGTAAGGTTTGCCTTGCTGTAATCTTTGTGGAAGCAAGTCACCAGGTTTTTCTTCTGCAGAGGTGCTCCACGGGTTTGAACCACAAGTACAAACTATTTGTGCCACCCTGAGACATTTTAACAACCACAGACTTTTTCAATTTCAAAAGCCAGAGAAAGAGAAACAGATTATGATAAGATAAAGAACAAGAGTCCCATTAATGATTCTGGAGGGATAATTAGAAAGATCTTTCAGGAGAAGTACCTTTAAAAAGAAACAGGAACCAGTTGTTTGCTTCCCC